AAGTAAAGAGGAAATTTCGAACATAAAGAATAAATAGAAAAAGTAAATAGAAAAGTAAAAAAAAAAAGCTCCAGCCAGAAAATGTCCTGGTTTTCCAGCACACTGACAGATATTCCTTCCCGGAGCAATGTTGTTTCCTAAATTCCCATTAATTCTTATTATTAAGTGGTTTAAATCCCAGATATCAGGAGGAAGGTTGTTAAGCTGGTTTGGAGTGAAATGGGTCTGGAAAAACACCTTTAAATCTGGGATTTGTGTCTCCTAAAAATGGAATTTCATGTTCTGCACATGGTCTGTGTCTGAATCCCATTGAGTTTACACAGATCAGGAATTTGGTGCAACAACTTAACTAAAAATTTGGCAAAGGAGGGGAAAAAAAGTCTTCTTTTCTGCGTGTGGTGTTTTGAAATGTTGTCAGTAGTTCTGTGGTTAAAGTGAAGTCAAATCCGTGTTATTTTCCAAGTAAAGGGAAAATCTGTCACTCAGAGTTGGCAGGAAGGAGCAATGGGAAGTTTTATTGTGTTTCCTACAATATAATTTCATTCCTGGTTTTGGAATGGGGCTTGGTGCAACCTGGGTGGAACAGGATGGGCTTTAAGGTCTTTTCCAACCCAAACCATTCCAGGATCCTGTGATTTCTGCCATTTATCCATTTAAAAAAACGCTGGGTTAGAAAGCAGCAGGAAAACCTTTAGTAATATTGAGGAAATCTTTTAGACTTACAAGTTCAAAGCACAAGGTTCTTGTTCTAACAAGTGGATGCAATAAAAAAATTCAAGTTTGAAGGATGAAAATTCATTTCAGCTTTTTTTAATAGCTCATTTCAGCATTATTTTTATATTTTTATATTTTTATATTTTTATATTTTTATATTTTTATATTTTTATATTTTTATATTTTTAATTTTTATATTTTTAATTTTTATATTTTTAATTTTTATATTTTTAATTTTTATATTTTTAATTTATATATTTTTAATTTATATATTTTTAATTTTTATATTTTTAATTTTTATATTTTTAATTTTTATATTTTTAATTTTTATATTTTTAATTTTTATATTTTTAATTTTTA